TTAAATGCTGCATCAATCGCCATTTTTTGTCTTCTTGGATTCCTTTTTTGTCCTTACCTTAATCATTCCCATTCTCAGTCTTCTCGTTCTCTTTCACTTTCACTCCCTGTCAGGGCCGGGAGTGGGAAAACCCCAAATATATGATACCCTCCCTCCAATTTATGATACGCCCCCCCCCCACTCTATTACATCACAGTTTCCATAAGGCAGTATTCATATATAATATAAATTTTATTTTATCTACAATAATGAATCATATGCAATATAGGTGAACAATTCAACTAGAAAATTTGTGAATAAATAAAATGTATCTAAATCCAAATTAGAGACATAAAAAAATGAACAAAGCTTTGCGGAAATTTTTCTCATCAACTTGAGATTTTTCTTGTTAAAAAGCTGAAGAATTTTAAAACATTCAGTATTATGGACATATGAAATTTATAAAGTATTTACTCTTTTTCGCGGACTTAGTATGAGCTAAACAAATTCACAGATTTGGTCGAAAAAAAACAAAAAACAGAATGAAATCAAATACTTTGAAAAATTTCCATCCTTTAATAATCAGTTGTGCAAAGTTTAATTTGTAGCGTATATACACCCGTGTGCAAATTAATTGAAACAAACGGTTTAGTTTCCTTTCTTTCACCATGCAGTTCGTTTTAGACACACTGCAATGAAAAGGGATAATCGATTTCCATTTTTCATCATATTGGGTCATTTTCAATGGTTTACAGTAATATGAATCTATTTTCGGGGTGTTTGATGAAAATTTTTAGCCTTGGAAAATATTGCCACATCCATGCTTGCATCAGATTTTTGTCACGCCCAGACACTATTGTCTCGACTGTCGATTAGTTGTCCTACAGCTATTGCCTGCGATGGAAGTTACTCCAAGGAAGCGTACGAAAAGTGTAAAGCTGCAAGAACACACTGTCAAGCCTTACCGGTGAGCAAATCAAAGTACTATAGACTGGCCCGGAAACTCTCCTGGTTTAAATCCAATCGAGAATCTGTGGTCAGTCTGGAAGGAATGACTTCGTTGAGTTGATATATGAAGTACTATCATGTGCACTGGGTCATGATTAATTGGAACAATACGAAAAAAGAATTAAATAATTTAGGATTTATTGCGTTTTGTTTCAATTAATTTGCACAAGGATGTGAATTTAGGTAGAAAAATACCAATGTTAGTGAGAGAGCGAAGCTCACAAAGTACTGTATGGGACCCACCATCAGTTCGGGGGTAGAACGAACCAGCCATGCTCCTGGTAACACTCTGCACTCTAGTGGCATTATTGGCTTGCTTTGAGTGAAATGAATTAAAAATATATGTAATCAGAAAAAGTATTGTTAATTTATCACTGTTTTCTAATTCTGAGTTGGTTAGCAATATTTAGCATGAAGAGGATATTAAATTTATTTTATTATTCACAGTGTCTATTTTGTAGGTATGCGGGAATTAATTTTTTTTTTGTTATTTAGATAAAGGTTTACGCTTTACTGTTATTGTTTCATAGATCGGTATTCTGAAGTTATTTTTTTTAATTCAAAAGGATTATTACGTCGGAATAGAGAATTACATTTATATCATGAGTAAAATTAAAACCTCAATTATTTTCGAAGGTTGATCGCAGATTTTTGATTTTGTTCTTGTTATTCGTTAATATCGCCCACGTAGCGGTTATAAGCTATGCGTGTATAGTTTTGAAACAATAAGACTGTGGACGAAGCGCAGTTCCCAACAAGGAAATTGTTTACATTAAGAAATCCTTTAAAATACATGCCCGAGTGGAAAGGCATTTCATTGAAATCCTTTCGAGTGAAAACCGAATTATATGTGTTAGATAAGTATGCATTCTGTCCACAGCTATAGATCTAATTTTCGTATTAACGAAACAATCAATTCTATCACAAACCAGCCAGGTTTTGCCTTTAAATAGATACAATATCTCCAAGTTCCCGTCGATTATCAAGTAGGCTCATTATATCAATGCAGATGAATTCCTTGGCATCGTTGCTTTGAAACTCCGTCCAAACTGACCATATGAACTGTCTTTAACAGTGAAGCAATGAGGGCTTTCATAACCCCGAGCATGGGTTAAATGGTTCGGATCTAACTAGATGATTGATAGCATAAATCACTGCGAGGTTACGACACAAGCTCCGCTCGAGAAACAAAGTAAAGCCCGATTTCCCAACAACTGAGGAAGTGGATTGTTGGCGCAGGCGTTCTTTTTCGGATGGCTCTATTCTAGGACGAAGTATTCAGCTGATTATCTAAAAGTCTCCGGTCGAAATTTTGGCTGACGCTTGGAAGAATTCAGTGGCCATTCGGAAGCAACTTTAATGTCCTCACATCATAAAAGGTCATCATAAATTCACTTAGCGTCTCTTTCTTTTCCCGTTCATATTCATATATATATATATATATATATATATATATATATATATATATATATATATATTATATATATATATAAGTGTGTGTGTGTATACACACAATCGAGGAGGTGCGGAAAAGCGTCCTATTTAGCAAACTACTTTTTGAAATGGCTGCTAGAACAACTACCATGCAATACGAAGAGAAAATATGGAATAACGTTTACGTGCTATGGATCTGGAATGTTATACTTGGTGCGGCATATACATGTGTATGTATGTAGCGCTTCACATTAAATCTCGTCCTGGGTATGACGATATACTACATATGCGTCCTTCCTAATACGATAAAGTACATCCGCGTCCTGGGTAAGATGATAAACTACATCCGCCTCCTGGGTATGACGATAAACTACATCTGCGTCCTGGGTATGATCATAAACTACATCCGTGTCCTGGGTAAGACGATAAACTACATCTGCGTCCTGGGTAAGACGATAAAGTACATCCGCCTCCTGGGTATGACGATAAAATACATCTGCGTCCTGTGTATGATGATAAACTGCATCTGCATCCCGTGTAAGACTAGAAACTACATTCGCGTCCTGGGTAAGACGATAAACTACATCCGTGTACTGGGTATGACGATAAACTACATCCACGTCCTGCGTAAGCCGATAAACTACATCCGCGTCCTGGGTATGATGATAAAATACATCCGCGTCCTGGGTAAGACGATAAACTATATACGCGTCTTCGGTATGACGATAAACTACATTTGCATCTTGTGTAACACGATAAACTACATCCGCGTCCTGAGTAAGACGATAAACTACACCCGCCTCCAGTGTAGGATGATAAACTACATCCGCCTCCTGTGTATGATGATAAACTACATCGGCGTCCTGTGTAAGACTAGAAACTACATCCGCATCCTGGGTAAGACGATAAACTACACCCGTGTCCTTGGTATGACGATAAATTACATCCACATCTTGGGTAAAGCAATAAACTACATCAGCGTCCTGGGTAAGACGATAAACTACGTCCAACAGCAAGGCCTCTGATCAGGAGGTTTTCTGGAGCGTGGAACCACCTCTTAATTGCTGGTACTCCCAGGTCCACCCTAACCCATCTTAGGTTCCCAGATATGGGTAAATAGTTAATCCCCAAACTGCGGTCAAAACATAACGAAAGTGTAAAAACAGGTATTAATACTAGAAATAGAGCAATACATTATTACCAGTGATAAATTTTTGAAAAAAATATTAACAGTTATACATTTTTGAAAAAACAAAAATTATTACCAGTTATACATTTTTTTAAAAAAAATATCAGTAATACATTTTTGAAAAATATATTAGCGATATATTTAAAACAAAAATACAAGCTATAATTTTTTAAAAAAATAAAAAAATTACCAGTTATACATTTTTGAAAAAAAAAAAATTACCAGCTATACTATTTTGAAAATATTTATTAGCAGTTATACATTTTTAGAAGAAAAAAAAAAAATTACCGGAATTAGATTTTTGAAGAAAAACATATTACTAGAAATAGATTTTTTCAAGGAAAAATATTACCAGAAATAGATTTTTTAAGGAAAATATATTACCAGAAATAGTTTTTTGGAAAAAAAATTACTAGAAATGTATTTTTAAAGAAAAAAATATTACCAAAAATGGATATTTTGAAGGAAAAATATTACCAGAAATAGATTGTTGAAGGAAAAAATATTACCAGAAATAGATTTTTTGAAGGAAAAAATATTACAAGAAATAGTATTTTGAAGGAAAAAAAATATTACCAGAAATCGATTTTTTAAGGAAAATATATTACCAGAAATAGATTTTTAGAAAAAAAATGTCCAGAAATAGATTTTTAAAGAAAACATAACACCAAAAATTGATATTTTGAAGGAAAAATATTATCAGAAATAGATTTTTTGAAGGAAAAATCTTACCAGAAATAGATTTTTGAAGAAAATATGCATTACCAGAAATAGATATTTTGGAGGAAAAATATTACCAGAAATAGATTTTTGAAGGAAAAAATATTACGAGCCATACATTTAAAAAAATATTACCGTCAATAAAGATTGTCGGCAGTAAATAACCCATTGAGGTTGACACGTCGTAAAACAAACCAAACCAAACCACATTTAACTTATGTCTCATCCAACATTGTTGGGGAGAGCGGCGAAATATTTACTTCATGCGCCAACAACATCTCAGTAACAATTGATCTGCGTTTGTATTCCTGTTCATACAATATTTCTTTAGCGGCCTATCAACACCTTATGGGTCATTTAATGCTATTTTTTATTTCGGGAGATTTGGTTATTTTTGTTTTTCTCTTCAAATCTATATCTGGATTTTTAGTTTACTATTAAAATGTATTGTTGACATTTTTACTATGAAAAATTATTTTCATAATTTTAACATTTTTTACCCGACTTGAAGGTTGCTCGCTGTTTGTCCTGGCACGGTACGCTAACAGGTTGGACGTGGGAACAACAGCTATTAAGAGGTGGTTTCATGCCACTCAAAACATCACGATCAGAGGCCATGCTGCCGGATGTAGTTTATCGTCATACCCAGGTCGTCTGTTCTTATAAAGACTTACGGTCATATCAGGTTGAAACACTGATTCTTGTACGATCACCGAAGTTAAGCAACGTCGAGCCTGGTTATTACTTAAATGCATGACAACGTGGGAATACCAAGTGCTGTAAGCTTGGGTGTGCAGGTAGTGTAGTGGATAACGGCTCTGAATTGGAAATTGAAGGGCCGTGTTCCAGTCAAGTTCGTTATATTTACTTATGTGAAAAAAAACCTTGGGAAAGTTAAATATCCAGCTCTTTTCCCCAAGACTATGGATTAATTAGTAGCACTTGTATCAGTAAATCGTTATTATCTCTGAAAAATGTTTACAATTTAAAAATATTTTCTGTCTTTAAATAACCGGGAAATGCAGGCAATCAGCCCTGTTCACACAACAACAGAGCCGTTTTCTTATTTGAAATCGACGCGCCATTTTAATTTTGTAAACAGTGAGTATTACATCTACTGGACTACACATTGTAGAAAATTTATTACTGCTAGTGTGCACACCGGCAGGAATCGAAACCGTATCCCTGATCTTCACTCAAATTGTTATAATAGTAGCTGCTCTTTTTCAGACCATAAAAGTAAACAAATCAATTAAAAAAAATAATCGATTTATTTTTGATCAAACATTTTTACTACTTTAAATGTTATTATAGAGAACACTTCTTGTTTGAAATAGACGCCCCATTTTTATTTTATTAAGTAGTGGTTATTAAATATTAGCTGATCTAAATCAAACTAGAAGCGATCTAAAATGCATGAATTAAGTCAAATAAAATCCTGGCATGTATCTAAGTAATAAGCAGGCTCCACGTCGCCTGTTCTTGACAAGGACTTGGATAGTCTGAAAGTACGTGAATATAACAGGAGAATATATGAGCATTAGGTGAATTTATTTCAGCTTCAATTTCGATGTATAAAACCTCATTCGGATATTGAAAATATAAAATAAGTCGGTGAATAAACAGGCCTTGTCGGTACAATGTAATAAAAGTTATTCTGATTAATTACTGTTGCATAGTTACACCTTAATTTGTAGGTCCGATGAATTGCATCGGGATTACGATTCCAGTGTAATAAAATATACATGACGATTCTATCCTCTTGGAAATTTATATATATATATATATATATTGACCACTAATATTAGCAATATATATATATATATATAAGAAATTCGGATTACTAACACAAAAAGAGAGAATGTCTCATATCGAGAATATTTAACATTGAACATAAGGAAAAAATTAATTATTTTTAATAATATGTGGAAATCTCCGTTTTTACCTGAAGACGGTCACGAGACCAGAAACATGTGTCAAATTATGTAAAACAAAGCATAATATTTTTTTCTAAATAAATCCACATTACAACCAAAAACGTTTGCGGCACCTCTCTTCTCTTCTTTTTAATATACATACTTTTCTCTCGTTGGAACCAATACAACCTCTTTCTTTTATATATATATATATATATATATATATATATATATATGCATAGAATATATATATATATATATATATATATATATATATATATATATATATATATATATATATATATATATATCAACTTACATCAACTTAATACTACCCCTCATAAATATATGTAAAATTAAATTGATTTTTTCACCCTTGGAAGTGTGGTCTGATGACTCAGGGAGAAAGAAATTCCGTGAGGAAATAAATTATAACCAATTGGCCCTTAAAGTTGTCTGTTTTCATTGATTATATATATATATATATATATATATATATATGAAGTGCACATTGAAGTCAACAAACAGTTGCGATAATCTGTTTCATGGTAAAAGCAATTGTCTGTCTGACGACTGATTTCAGTTTGAAAAACATTGTCACCTCTGGGTGTTGATTTCAATGTATGTTTCATATTTATATCTACATACGCTCTATCCCTGATAATGAGTTATTTAAACCATGAATAGATTATATACAAAATCTCTCTCTCTCTCTCTCTCTATCTATATATATATATATATATATATATATATATATATATATATATATATATATATATCCCATGTGATGAGAAGGAAAGTAATATATAAATTCCAATGTTCACAGCATTAATCCAAAAAGGGCCTGATACCGATAGTAGAGCGATAATTATTTATTTATTATAATTTTATCATATAGACAAAACCATTTTACATGACAAAGATGCAACATCGTTTCAGTGCATTTCAACTGCACTTCGACGGGTGAGAATCGAAAATCGAAATGCACTGAAACCAAAGTGCATCTTTGTAGTGGGTAAAAAGGTTTTGTCTAGATGATAAAATTATAATTGAGGAATATATATATATATATATATATATATATATATATATAGAGAGAGAGAGAGAGAGAGAGAGAGAGAGAGAGAGAGAGAGAGATGGATATCTATTTGGGGTTCAGAATGGCCATTTTTCTCCTCAGTGACGTCTTTTCAAAGACTACGTGTCTCTCAATCTACAATCGTTACAGTGCACTAGCACACTAGCCCATATATCGATATGTTATTATTATTATTATTAGTAGTAGTAGTAGTGTACCAGTTCCCCTCAGAATTGTCTGCTTTTGTTTTAAAGTTCTAATATGTAGATGGTATTTATCAATTCACCCACAGGAATTGAATGTGGCACAAGGCCTTTTTAATGTGGGTATGTCTGAGCCTGTAGGCCCAGCCAAAAATAAACCCATCTAAACCCGTCCAAGCGGGGCTAGTTCCGTCAACCTCCTGAACGAAGCCCTACCCTTCGGCAGAGCCTCGTCCGGGTTCCCCTCTGCAAGCAGAGAGTTCGACAGACACCCGACCCGGCAGCTCACAAAGCGCAGATACTACACTTTGATCCTAGCCACCTGGCCGAGCGGGTATTCTTTTTATAGATAATATGTAGATGCAATGAAAAAAAAATTGAAACAATGTATTGTGATTCAATGAAGTATAGATAAGGAATTCACAAATAATGTAGAAGCTAATTAACCGTTTGACTAACCCGTTCTATTCATATTTTTTAGTCGTTCAATGCGATCTATGATTCATTGTTTGCTGCTGGTATTATATAAATCGCGTTTTTCTCAATGTCTTCATGTTTTAAGATTTTAATATGACAGAAAAAAAGAAATACATCTGGGAAGAAAAATATTAGCAACAGTTGACAAAGCCGATCTCAGGACAGATTTGAAGCAAGATGATCACTTAATGGACAAAAGTATCTGATTACCACACATGAAAGTCTTGAACAACTAAGACTGCGATCTCAGAAACGTAAGAGTAAAAGAACAGATAATTGTAAACGGTTTATTTTGCTCCGGAACTAATTTTGTCAAAATGCAGATGAGCATTATATTGAAATTATATTTTTGAAATGAAGTAACCACGTATAAATTTACTAACTTAAATTTATTTACCTCCCTTGACACTACAGATGGGACAGGAAATATATAAATAAATACAAATTGAAAATTATTATATAGTTTGATTATTAGTCATAGACCACGTCGAAACTTCTTCGTCTACTTCGTCTTTTCGTCTTCTTCTTCTTCTTGTTTTTCTTCTTGTTCTTGTTCTTGTTCCGTTTCTTCTTCTTCTTCTTCTTCTTCTTCTTCTTCTTCTTATTATTATTATTATTATTATTATTATTATTATTATTGCTTAATTTGAAACGCTAAGAATATCATGTACCGAACGTGTGAGCAACGACGAAGATTTGGAGAAAATGGAAACAAAAAGGACACGCATAGTTAACATCAGGAAGAAGCAGTTTAATTTTCCAGGGCGCATAATGAGAAAAGAGGGCATGGAAAAATTGATCCTCACAGGAGAGTAAGGCAAGAGATAGAGCGGAAAACTTAATCTATCTAGCGAATTTTAGCAAATAGTTAGTGGAGTAAGGTTTCGGACAGATATCAAAAGGACAACATTCGTTAACAGGGACAAAGGACATGAAACTGTGGAGTGCCGTGATCGTCATCATCCACATAGAGGCACATAGAAGAAGAACCTGGTATAAAAGACTGATATTTGAAAGAGGAAGGTAGCTGCAGGTAAGTAAAATTATATTTCAAAGGAAATGCTAGAAACGAAAAGTGAAAAATAAAAGAAAGATAAGAAAAAAATAGAGAGAGAAAAAATAACGAAGAAAATTAACGGAGAAAATATCCAATTCAGCGGCCAATGTGCGTCAGTCTCTATTGACAGAACAAGTCTAATTCAGCATTTCATTCGATCACATACAATGGGGATTAGTTATATTCTCTCGGTTAAAGAATGGATCATTGACTTGCTTTTTATCGTATTCTGGCCTTTCAACTCATGTCGAGGACTAAGGAATTTGTCAAAGATCCGTTAAAAAGTTAATAAAGTGAAAATATATTGGCGATGTCTTTGGAGAATGGAGGTCAAAGAATGGTAAGTCAAAAGAAGAAGAGCCTTTCCTAAATTGAATGATATTCGATTCTTTTGTGTGATATATGTCATCAGATTATGAAGCAAAAAGGGGACTCTACCAGAGAGTGACGGATAGTTAGCTAAGTTAGCGTAGAGAGTTCGATTCGTAAATCGTGCCAAATCAACTTAACGCAATAATCAATTGAGCCGAGCCTTGAAAATTTTTATGGGGAAAACAGGGATGAATTACAGCCTTGTGGTAATTAATTGAAACAAAACGAATAACTCCGTTATTATTTACATTTTTCCAATGAAAAATGACCCAGTGCATATGTTAGTATTTCGTATGTCCATTTCACGAAATCTCCCCTAGCAGGGTGTCCATATATTCTCGACTGGATTTAAATCAGCAGTTTCCGAGCCAGTCGATAGTACTTTGATATGTTCACCGGTAAGGCTTGCCATTGTGTTCGTACAGCATTACAATTTTAGTAGCCTTCCTTGGAGTAACATGCATTGCAGACAATTGCCATGGGACAACTAATCGAGAGTCGAGACAATAATGTCTGGTCGTGATGAAAATTTGATGCAATCTCGGATGACGCAATATTTTTAAAGGTCAAACAATTTTCATCATACACTGCGAAAATAGATTCACATTACTGCACACCACTGGAAATGACCTAATCTGATGATAAAATAGAAATTGATTACGCCCTGTCACGGCAGGGGAT